TGTGGTGGTTTGGTGGTGGTGGTGGTGGGTTGCTGGTGGTGGTGGTGGTGGTGGTGGTAGTGTTGGTGGTGGTGGCGGTAGTGGTGGTAATCGTCGCTGCGTCCCCGCCATCGGCGCTGCTGGCCGCCCCCAGCGCCGGCGCTGGCGCCATCGCGGGGAAGGGTTGGGATTGGGACCCCCCCCCACCCCATCGTCGCTGCGTCCCGGCCGTCGGCGCTGCCGGCGGCCGCCACCGCCGGCGCCAGCGCCGGCGCCGGGGAGGGGGGGGGGTTTGAACCCCTCACCCCCCTTGGGAGGGGGAAGGGGGGGGGGGGTTATAGGGGCAGGGGCCCCCTGGTTGTGATCGACGGCGCCGAGTGTTGAAGGGGGGGCCCACCCCACGGTTCTAAACGCGCCGCCGAATGTTCCCAAGGCAAGCGCCCGTGAAACGAGCGCTTTCTCTCATGATGACGATGCCCTTATCGCTAGATCTAGTGTGTGTCCTATACTTCCACCTGAATGCCAGACCTGAGGAACAAAGACGCATGGCGCGAAGCACCAATGCAGTCTTGCGTTGGTACATGCATAGATGCATAGATATACACATGTTTGTATAGGGATGCATGGATGTGCGTCTGTATGTAAACATGTATGCCTGGAGCTATGTAATGTATGTATGTGTGAATGTGTGCATGCCTGTATGTATGTACGTACGTACGTATGTATGTATGAGTATATGTATGCATGTATGTATGTATGTATGTATGTATGTATGTATGTACGTATGTATGTATGTATGTATGTATGTATGTATGTATGTATGTATGTATGTATGTATGTATGTATGTATGTGTGTTTGTATGTATGTATGTATGTGTGTATGTATGTATGTATGTATGTATGCATGTATGTGTATGTATGTGTATGTATGTGTATGTATGTGTATGTATACATGTATGCATGTATGCATGTATGCATGTATGCATGTATGCATGTATGCATGTATGCATGTATGTATGTATGTATGTATGTACGTATGTACGTATGTATGTATGTATGTATGTATGTATGTATGTATGTATGTATGCATCTGTGTATGAATTTCAGCCGGTCTGTCGGTGTGTCGGTCTGCCTACTTGCCTGCCTGCCTGGCTGTCTACCTCCTTGGCTGCAGGGGGAGGGGGCTGGGCAGGGTAGGGGCAGCGGGTAAGAGGAAGGATGTAGACTCGGAGGGGGGGAGTGGGCGGGCAGAGAAGGAGGAGAGAAGGGGGGGGGGAAGGAGGCAAGGTGGTTGCTCATGCTGCGCTCCTGATCTCCTGTGGAGTGGTTTTTCGAAGGAGAAGGCTGAGGCGGGCGGGGAGTGGCAGCAGGTTCGCCCAGCCACCGCCGACGGACCCAGTGCAAGCCCCAGAGGGCTCGGGACAGGTGCCCGGCCACGCCGTACACGACCAGCCTGTGCCGCCCCCGCCAGAGGGAGCTCCTGCTCGCGAAGGTGGCGTGGCGGAGCTCGCCGGGCTCCGAATTTCCGTCCGGATGAGCCACGCCTGCAGCCAAGGCCGCTTCGTTAAACGTCCTCGCGGGCCGTCCGGCTGCAGAGGCGGCGTCTTCGAACGGCGGCCTGGCACGCGCCCTTCTTGATGTCCATGGTGCGGTGCAGCACCTGGTAAAGTAGGAGCACCAGAGAAGAAGTCGGCCTGCCAGAGGGTTCCTCATGAAATTCTGTGACCTCTCGATGAGGCCACAGAGCCTTGGTGCACCTGGCCAGCGCAGTGTCGATGGAGGATGTGTGTTCTAGACTTCTGATAACACTGCTTCTCATCGTGTGCGCCTGCTGTACTGTACTCCCTGCTTGTTGTTCGTAGTTGTGGCTCGAGCACGTCGATCTGCGGCGCCAGAAGCCTTACGCTCTGGCGTAGAAGCTAGACGATCCCGCAGGTCACGAAGCTGACGTTCCTGCTTGTCCACCTTCTGATGCAATGCCTCAGACTGCTGCTGCATCCCTTTGGCCTCATGGCCCTTTCCCTTGATCAACCCCAGTGCGGACTGAAGCTGAGCCTCGACGGAAGCTGGTTGCTGCTGCAGTTGGTTTGCCCTCAAGTCCACCACACACCAATTGGGGCACGAGCCATTCGGTAGCCACACTTTCGACGACCCTCCCTCCCCCGTGTCGTTCCTTTGCCTGCCCTCACTTTCACATATGACATCTTAGCCACAGCAGGTGGCACCCACCAGTCACCTGGCTGCTTGGTCTGATCACCCCCCCAGGGCCAACCTGCCCTGGGGGGAGGGCAACGTCTGGACGACCCATCTGCCCGAGGACTCAGGACTCAGGTGGATGAGGATGACCAGTGTAAACCCAAGACGCATCAGCGATGCTACTAGTTCCTCCCTCCAAGTTCCCTCGTCACGTGTCCCTGCACACAGGTTTCCATGGCGGGAGATGCCATACTGACAGCCAACCATATGAGAACACCCAAATGTGCCAAACCACCGTTCCTGGGACGTCTACGCCGCGAGTCAGTGTAAGAGGATGAGGAGGAGGAGGAGGAGGAGGAGGAGGATACAGGAGGCCTTGTCCTGCTCTCAATTGTCCTCCGCCTCCTAGTCCATGTCCTCTTCTTCGTGTTCTTCTTCTTCCGGCTCCTACTTGTGCTCCTCCTCCTTCTTCTCATCCTCCTCGGGTGGTTTGTTCAGGTGGCTTTTCCTGGGTGTAGGAAAATTTGCTTCGAGCCACCCGTATGGGAAGGTAAGATCGCCTTAGACCGCGTGCACCGTGCGACCATATGGCCAAGCAGTTAGCCTTCAGTATGCGATTTTTTTTCGGCATGAAGCAGACGCAATGGGTGAGAGTATAGTATAATCCTCCTCCTTTCCAGGCTTCAGTGTGCTCCTTAATGTTGGGATGAGCCTTGCAACGGGGAAGCAGGCGTGAAGCACTGGGTAAAAAAGAACATAACGTAAAAACACGACGCAGAACACCGAAGGAGTGAACTGAGCACTATGCAGGACCAGCCGTGCTGTCCGGTGCTGCAGTCAGCGCCACTCCCGCGTAATGTCTCGCACGCAAGACTTTATGGTTTGGCATCCCCTTTGTCTGTTGTTGTTCGGAACGCTCTCGATTCTTCAAATACTGTGTTCTCGCTGCAGCGTTAGCCACACTTCAGGATCGGTGCTTTGCTCTGGTAGACTGGCGGTTTCGCCCCGGCGGTGGTAACCCTTCTGGATCCGATTCCGGCGGACCTTGTTGCTGCCGCTCCCTCCTTTCCCCTCCACCACCTTCCGCTGATCCTCCTGCTCCTCCTGATCCTGCTTCTGGTCCTCCTCTTTCTCCTTCGCCTTCCTTCACCTCCTTCCACTGGAAAGAGCTCCCTCTGATCGCGCATCGCGCGATAGGAGTCATTCCGGGGACCAAGGTCCTCTAGGTCCCCACAGCCGGTGGATAGAAAAAGGTTCAGCGCAGAGAGGAAGGAACGGGTGGGCCGGTGGGTGCTTGTGTGCGTATTTTTTTGCGGGGGTGTATGAAGTCGGATATGTCGCGAGCGCACTTGCCTTGGCCTCCATCTCCTCCTCGGCCATTTGCTCCTTTTCCTCCGCCTCCCCAAAGTGTGACGATGTTACAGTCGACGTTGGCACCTGGGATGTAGTGGAGCTCGAAGAACGACTGGAGGAAGCCCGCTTAACTGCCTGAGTGCTGCGTGGCCTGATGTTCATATCTCTTCCCTCCCCCGCCCCCTCCCCCCCTCCGCCGAGTCCCCGCGCGCGAGCAGGAAGGGAACGGGTAAGGAGAAGGAGGAGGAGGATGAGGATGAGGAGCAGAAGCAGGAGGAGGAGGAGGCGGAGAGAAGACATATTTAATGGGAGAAGGAGGAGGAGGAGGAGGAGGAAAAGGAAGTGGTTGCATGAGGAAGAGGAGGAGGACGAGGTGAAGGCAGAGGAGAGATGAAATTGGAAATGATAATGATGATGATGATGATGATGATGATGATGATGATGATGATGAGGAGGAGGAGGAGGAGGATGAGGACAAGGACGAGGATGATAATGAGGATGATGATGAGGATGCTGCTGAGGATGTTGAGGATGGTGATGATGACGGTGATCTTGATGATGACGGTTCGTATGAGGCCTACGGTGATGATATTGATCATTTGGTTGATCGAAGGTTCTGAACCTGGTTATGATGTTGTTGATGATTAATATGGTGATGTTAGTGCCGATTATGATAATGTCCATGGTGTTGATGATGATGCTGATACCGATGATGATGCTGCTGATGATGATGCAGATGATGATGCAGATGATGCTGATACTGATGCTGATGCTGATGATGCTGATGCTGATGTCGATGATGATACTGAGGAGGAGGATGAGGAGGATGAATAGGAGGAGTAGGATGATGATGATGGTGGTGATGATGCTGATGATGCTGCTGATGCTGGTGGTGGTGATGATGATGGTATTGATGACGTTGTTGCCGATTGTGATGTTGCTGATGCTGTTGCTGCGGAAGACGATGATGATGATGATGATGATGATTATGATGATGATGATTATGATGATGATGATGACGATGATGATGGTGGTGATGATGATGATGCTGATGATGATGATGCTGATGCTGATGCTGATGCTGATGCTGATGATGATGATGATGATGATGATGATGATGATGATGATGATGATGATGATGCTGATGAGGGTGGTGATGATGATGCTGCTGCTGCTGTTGCTGATGATGCTGCTGATGATGATGATGACGAGAAGAAGGAGGATGAGGATGAGGATGAGGATGAGGATGAGGATGAGGATGAGGATGAGGATGAGGATGAGGATGAGGAGGCGGAGGAGGAGAAAGAGGAACAGGAGCAGCAGGAGGAGGAGGAGGAGCTGGAGGAGGAGGAGCACGAGGAGGAGGAAGAAGCAGGAGGCGGAGCAGCAGGAGGAGGAGCAAGACGCTTGCGGAGGGAGCAGATGCTCGTTGGCGAGCCCGCGGACCCTCCTTCTCCCAGACGCGCGCCGAGGCGGCGGAGGAGGCCGCCGCACGGAGCGACGTGGTCAGCGAGGCCACGCACGTGACCACCCACACGCACGTGACAGGCCGTGCGCCGCCCGGCGACTGCTTCGAGACTTGAGCTGCGGGCCTTTTGTCTCCGTGGCCTGGCCCCGTGCTTCTGCTGCTCCTCCTCCTCCTCCTCCTCCTCCTCCTCCTCTGGCTCCTGCTCCTGCTCCTGCTCCTCCTCCTCCTCCTCCTCCTTCTCCTCCTCCTCCTCCTCCTCCTCGCCCTCCAATTGCAGTTTTCTTCCCTTTCCTCCTCCCCCTCTCCTCCTCCTCCTCCTCGTCCTCCTCCTCCTCCGTCTCCTCTTCCTCCCCATTCGCACGTGACCACCCACACGCACAGCACAGGCCGGCCGAGGCTCCCCCGAGGTCCTGGCGCTGCGATTTCGGGCAGAGATCGTTCTCGTGAGAGTCGGGTCCTGGGACCATCACGTGTCGATTCGGCTCGAAAATTGCAGCAGAAAGACGGGGTCTAGGGCCCCAGTCAGATTGATGCATTTGCTCGCACCGTCGGATCTCAGGGTCAGATGAGGAATCGCTAGCCATACCGCTACACTTCCTCGGTTTCGCCTCTTCCGGGCCTCCTGGGAGACCCTGTTCGCCACGGCTGGATTCGCTTCAAAGCTTTGGTCAGAACGCACACTGTAAGAAGTCTGTGGAGTAGCATCCTCCCTAGATCTTCGACGATGTGCTTTTCCCCACCCGACAGGTGGGGGTCGTTAGACTTTAAGAACAGACCTCCCGACCCGCCCACCCCGCATACCGCGGCCGCCAGATCCCCAAGTCCACCAATTGCCCCCCAGTTCATACCCGACATGCCCACTCTGTATACCGCGGCCGCCAGATCCCCAGGTTCACCGAGAGTGTCTGAGACTCCAGCCCCAACAGACTCGACTCGCCCACTCTGCATACTGCGGCCGCCAGATCCTTGGGTCAACCGAGAATGTCCGAGATTCCCGTGAGCATGACAAGAACACAACTAACAGCACACAACATACCATAAGACAGCATGACAAAACATAGCATACTAACTGAACATACAATGACGGGTCAGATCATAACATAACGTACTATCGCATGACATATCATAGCGTATCATAGCACATCATGGTATGGCATAAGTTGCACGTATGTAACATAACACACCATGCCACAACGCAATATATTAGTGGAGATCATACTAGCAGATCGAACCGTTGCACATCATGACGAATCATGGGCCAACCGAGCACATCGTCACAGACCGTAGCGTAACACAACAAGCCACAGCAAACCATGCGATAACGCAACATGCACTATACTCCTGTGGCATGGCGAAGCATATCATAACATGGCATGGCATAGTGCAGCACGACGGGGCATTCCATACCATAACACAACATCGACCGTATCATAACATAGCAAATCACTGCATCACATAGCGGAGCATGTACGAGCATAGAATAGCAACCTTTACCATACGATACCAGAAGTGGTGTGCTATGTCTGCCGCGCCGGCAAACAATGCAATCGAAGCTCATAGACGGCTACAGGTTGAAGAGGAATGGCAGGACATAACATACCATCACATGATATAACGATTATGGCATATCATCGCCATAATACCATACATGCGTTGCTTTGGTACTGCTAACACTATGCCAGCGAATCTGTTATACCGTCATACACGGTCACAAAGTTCAAGAGGCCTACCCTAACCTGAATGGTGCAGAACACAACGTAATCGTCATACTATAACGTAAAAGCATAACAGAGCACACTAAACCAACATCTCACTCCATAGCGCACGAAGTCCTCTTGTAATAAAGCGGGTCATTACATCATACCATCCAACCGAATGGAGCGAATCACCATTGAAGATGAACATTTTAACATCATCGACCGTACCTTACCATAATCAAACGCGACGTGCGTGCCGAGAATAGGCTGGGCACAGGAACAAACAAGCGCAGCAACGACCGATTGGACGACGTATCTATCGTGGCAGGCGTCACTACATCGCGCTTGCCCGTCGAGAACACCACATAACATAATACAGTACAGCATACTAGAGCATGAGTGAATAACACATATCTGAACTTCCAAATTTCAGAAACGACGGACTAATGGCGCCCTGTCGAACGCAGCAATCGCGCCGACGTAAGGTTGGCCACAGGGCAAAAACAAGTGCAGCAGCGACCGATTCCACGACAGCAAACGTGACAGGCGTTACGACGTCACGCCGCCCCGTCGAGAGCAGAACAGGACAAGCCATACGGAATGCAACCGAGAAGAACGCCACATACAGAAATACGGCAGAGAACCAGCAATTCCGTGTTATCATACGCGAGGTGAGCGCCGAGACTACGTTGGCCACCGAAACAAATAGCACCAGCAACGGCCTATTAGACGAAATATCAAGCGTCACAAGCGTCACGATGTCACCCTGGCACGTTCAGAACATAACATACCATACAAGAGTGCCATGAAGCACAACGGGGCAGAACCCAAGCGAACAGCACATAGCACATTTTATGATTGCACCCACCAATCAACGGCATCTCATCAAACGACCATCATAACATAGTCGACCGTGCCATGACATAATCAAACGCGACGTGCGCTCCGAGGTCAGGCTGGGCACAGGAACAAACAGGCGCAGCAACGACCGATTGGACGACGTATCTACCGTGACGGGCGTCATAACATCACGCAGGCCTGTCAAGAACACAACAGCATACAGTGTAACATACCAGGACATGATGGAGTATCACATGCTTCCGTTGAATATGGTTGAAAACGGCGACGACGGATCCATGGTGCCTTATCAAACGTAACATCCAGGCCGACGCAAGGCTGACCACAGGACAAAACAGGCGCAGTAACGACCGATTCGACGTCACGCCGCCCCGTCGAGAGCAGAACAGCACAGCTCCTCTGCGCTTGGAACAGAACGGGAACGAACAGAACGCGCGAGAGGAGATTGTAGCAGCTACCGAATCATACCGTCGTATCAAACGCGACATGCGCGACGAGTTCAGGCTGGCCGCGCTAGCAGTCAGTACGAGGCTCGGGAACAAATGTCGCAGGTTTCGGCTGGGATCGCCCGGAACAAAATGAGTTGAATCCCGTCGGGAGCCTTGAGACGGGGTCAGTGCAAACGGGGGTCAGCCAGAGCGCCAGATTCTGCAGGATCCTGCGAAGACCCACTCTGGCTGACGGGGGTTAGCGAGCCGCTTGTGGCCGCGAGGCGGCCGCGCATATTGGCTGACCCGGGTTTGCGAAAACTTGCGTTGCAGTTTTTTGTTCCTGCACTGCAGTTTTGTGGTTTCCTGCTGACCTGGGTCTGGATTGACCCGGGTCAGAAGATCCCCGATCCCGGCGTTTTCCTTCGACCGCCTTTGCCCGTTTTTCCCTCCAGCCGCGGGTCAATTTGCGCTTTCCGTTGCCTGGTTCGCCCGAGCGCGCGTACGGACTGCCTCTGCCGCGCTGCGGCGTACAAAAAGTCGCTCCGCCGTTTCTGGCCCACCACGCTCGGGCGCGACACGCTATCCACAGCCCGGTCCCGAGGCGTCAGCTTCCCGAGCTTTCCCGCCCCTCCCGCCCCGCGGAGCAGAGCGACGCGCGATCCGCTCGCAAGGGAGTCTAGCGTCGTCGCCAGGGCCGCCGCGGAACGCGCGGTCCAAAAGTTTCCGACAATATAGATTGCTTCGTTGCAGTGGAAGCCCATGCCAAGAAGCACAGTGCTTGCCTCCAGGGTGTCCTGGGTGTTTCCATTGTTTTGTGATGGAAATCGTGACTCCCCCACACCAAAAACCAATGGACGACCTAGGGTCTCAGGGTTGGGTTGCTTGTGGAAGGTTTTCTTGTGGTCGAGCTCCTACTGCAGTTCGCTTTGGCGCGACACGCTATCCACAGCCCAGTGCCCAGGCGTCCGCGCCCCGAGCTTTTCCGCGCCGCCCCGCCCCGCGGGGCGGAGCGACACGCGATCCGCTCGCCAGGCACAGCGCGTCGCCGGGGCCACCGCAGCGGCACGCGATCCAACAGGGAATCCGCGCGGACCTTTGAAAGTTTATGCTTATGCCGCTCGCTCTTCTGCGTAGCTTTGGGGAAACTCCGCCGCACAAAAGATACACACCTACACCCCCCAAAGGATTGTGCCTGGGCCTCAAGGGGGGGTGGCGGTGTCACCATTGAGAGCCAGCGACTTCATACACCGCCGCCCTTCCTGAAGGTACATGCAAAATTCGTCGGAGGGCCTCTGTGCATGTATCCGTAAGGGCTTCGCCCCCTGCCACTGGCTCCCTCTCTCGGAGATTGGGGTATGCAGGTATGCAAGAGCTGTGTTGTGAGGCTTGGGCGCCGTCGTGAAGCAGCGTCGGAACTTCGAACGGGGGCCACTTGAGATATTCATGTACTTTGCAGGGCTCCAGCTGGGGCACGCGTTGACACATTGCCAATGCACGCTTGGATCTGATGGTTGCGTGAGGCTCGCATGGGCCGTCTCGGAGGCCTCTTGTACTGTCATGCGGGCTTTCATTCAGGATTGTAGCTTCGAAAGCGAATACTGGGTATTTTACATGGGTTCATTATCCAGGGACGCGAAGAACGCGTAATTTACGAGGCACCGTGGCCTCGGGGACGCAAGTAATATTCAGTAATGTACAAAGAGTATTGCCTCGGAGACGCGAACATTTTGTCATTCACAAGGAGTTATGGTCTCGGGAGCGCGAGCTCTAGGGCCTATGGTTATGGCTTCGGGTACTCGAACATTCGGGACGATCGAAGTGGGCACGGAAAGAATGGGTACGATGCCCAACAGCAGTTCCTGTTCGTTTTGAACATCACTCGCTGTCCGCGCCGCCGCAGGCGTTTTCCATTGAAGACAATAAGCCGCCCGCCCAACAGCAGCCGCTGTCGGTTTTGGTCAACATTGGTTGTTTGGCATTGTCTCAATTTCTTCCGTACCCATTTCGGGCGCCCAACAGCATGGCGTAATTTACAAAGAGTTATGGCCTCGGGGCGCGCACATGGCGTAAGCATCATTAGAGTTATGCCTCGGAGGAGGAGCAGGAGAAGGAAGGAGCAGGAGAAGGAAGGAACGAAGGAAGGAAGGCAGGAAGGAGGGAAGGAAGCGAGGAGGAGGAGGAGGAGAAATGGAGGAGGGAGGAACGTAGCGAGGACTTGAGCTAAAATGAGTCGGGTGCCGGGATCGCGGTAGCGCCGTGAGGGTGGAGGAGGAGGAGGAGGAGGAGGGAGACAGATGTGGCGGGAGGAAAAGGCGGAGGGAGGAGGAGGAGGAGGAGAAAGAGGAGGAGGAGGAGAAGGAGGAGGAGGAGGAGGAGAAGGAGGAGGAGGAGGAGGAGGAGGAGGAGGAGGAGGAGCAGAAGGAGCAGGAGGAGGAGCAGGGGCAGGAGCAGGAGCCGGAGCTGGAGTAGGAGCAGGAGCAGGAGGAGGAGCAGGAGGAGCAGGAGGAGCAGGAGGAGGAGGAGGCGGAGGAGGACGAGGCGAGGGAGGAGGAGGCTCGGGATCTAGACGCCCTTGCTCCTCTTTTTGCACTTGGAGGGGAGGCTTTAGGTCCAGCTCGTCGGGGAGGAGGGGGAGGGAGAGGCTACAGCGCCTCGCTGTCCTGTAGTGTCCTCCTCGCTGTCGTCCTCGTCCTCCTCATCGTCCTGCCTGACTTTCTCTTCGCCCACCCCCGCCCTTCCCCCCTCTTTTCCCCCCCTCTTTTCCCCATCCTTCTCCCCCTCCTCTTCCTCCTCGTCCTCCGCCTCAACCTCCTGCTTCACCTCCTCCTCCTGCTACTCCTCCTCCTCCTCCTCCTCCGCCTCCCCCTCCTCCTCCCCGTCCTTCCTCCTCGTCCTCCTCCTCGTCAATTCCCTCTTCCTCGTCTTCTCGCTGTCTTCTCCTCCTGCTCCTCCTCCTTCTCCTGCTCCTCCTCCTCCTCCTCCTCCTCCTTCTCCTCCTCCTCTTCGTCCTCCTCCTCTTCCTCCTCCTCCTCCTCCTCCTCCTCCTCCTCTTCGTCCTTATCCTCGTCCTGCCTCCTCGTCCGTCGACCCTCCGGCGCCTCTTGGCCCGTGCCTGAGCGTTGAGCGAGGCGTGACCAACGCCACCACTAGGAAGGGCGGCAAGGACAAGGAGGCGGCGGAGCGCCGGAAGCGGGAGCGGGAGGACCGCGTCTCGATCTCTTCCTCCTCCTCCTCCTCCACCTCCTCCTCCTCCTCTTCCTCCTCCTCCTCCTCCTCCTCCTCCCTCCTCCTCCCTTTCCTCCTCCTCGTTTTCCTCCTTCCTCCCCTCCCTTTCTTCTTCATGCTGTTATGATTATTATCATGCTAGTTCGTCTTATCCTTATCATTGTTATTCTTAGCATTATTATTTAGTAGTATTCGTAATAGTATGTTGTAGTATGTTGTTTCTATATGCTTGTTTCCCAATTATCTTCTCCTTTCTTCTCATCCTCCTGCCCCTCCCTCTCCTCTTCCTCCCTCCTCCTCCTCCTCCTCTTCCTCCTCTCCTCCTCCTCTCTTCCTCATCCTCCTGGCATCCGCCTGCCCCTCCCTCCCCTCCTCTCTTCCTCCTCCTCCTCATCCTCCTCTTCCTCCACACCTCCTCCGCATCCTCGACATCCGCCTGCCCTCTCTCCTCCTCTCCTCTCCTCCCTCTCCTCTTCCTCCTCCTCCTCCTCCTCCTCCTCCTCCTCCTCCTCCTCCTCCTCCTCCTCCTCCCCCTCTTCCTTCTCATCCTCCTGCCCCCGCTTCTCTCCTCCTGGCGCGCGCGGGAGGCCCTCCCCCCAGTGGGTGCCCCACTCGCGGCATTTTTGCTTGTGCGTTCGGCCATCCTGGGGCCACCTCAGTCCTCCGGAGGCCTCCAGTGATATGGTTTAGCCACCCGGCCTTCTCGACGACCTGACGCCGGCGTCTCCAAGCACTCGTGCCGCCGCTCCTCCGCCTTCTCTTCCGCGGCAGCGGGCCATCCTGGGGCCACCTCAGTCCTCCGGAGGCCTCCAGTGATATGGTTTAGCCACCCGGCCTTCTCGACGACTTGACGCCGGCGTCTCCAAGCACTCGTGCCGCCGCTCCGCCGCCTTCTCCTCCGCGGCAGCGGGAGACTTCAGGATCGCCCTCCGAGAACCTCGACCCTCGATCAACAAAGCTTCCGGAGACGACGGCGACGTGTGACGAGTGACGACGACGAAGGACGACGACGGGCGACGGGCGACGGCGACGACGACCCCTCCGACATCTCCTGTTCACGTTACACGGGCGTTGATCGAAGCGATCAGTGCGTCTGAACGCCCGTACCGAAAAACGGATCACGCGCGTGAACACACATGCACACATACACACGCACACATTGATTACACGAGCAGCGGCCGAAACAACAGGAACTAGAAGGGCAACGAGAGGCGGAACGGTGGAGAAGCTTGCAGGGGCATGAGGGGAGTCTACCTCGGCAAGGTTTCCCAACAGCCTCACCACCACACCTAAAGCCTACCCAGACATACGCTGCTCCAATATTTTGGATGCGTGGGCCCGAGAGGTCTGGACCACTTCCCCAGGGCTGGTTTCCCGTCCTGAGTAATTTTTTGTGATGCTCTCGAGGCTCGGCGAGGGCCCCCCCCCGAAGGCCGAACACGGCCGAAACCCGCCCGTTCTAATTTTTGGCGGAGCGTCGGATCTCTAGGTCATCCCACTCTCCCCGCTCCCCTCCCTCCTCTCCGCCGCCGAGGAGCGTGAGCGCCTGGAGCGTGAGCTGGAGGACGAGCTCGCGGCAATTGCCCCGAAGGGGCCCTCGAAGAAGAAGGCCACCCGCGCTGGACGGTGACGTCGGCGCTGCCGTCCCTGTGGACGACGGCGGTGACGACGGCGTCTTCGACGGCGACCTCGACCCTTCGTCCTCTCCGCCTCCACACGTCGCCTCGCCGTGGGGCGGGCGCCTCGTGCACCAGGGCGAACGCCGGCTCGGGCGCGGTGGGCTCGCCGCGGGTCTGCCGCGGCTGCCGGCGTCGTCTGCTCGGGCGCGGGGCGCAGGGTTTGCGCTGGGTTTGCCGTGGTGTCGGCCTCGTCCAGTTGGGCGCGGCGACACGTCTGCATTCTCATGTCCCTCGTCCTCCCCAGCCGCGGCGATGATGATGATCATGATGCTGCTGCTGCTGCTGCCGATGATGATGATGATGATGATGATGATGATGATGATGATGATGATGATGATGATGATGAGGATGAGGATGAGGATGAGGATGAGGATGAGGATGAGGATGAGGATGAGGATGAGGATGAGGATGAGGATGATGATGATGATGATGATGATCATGATCATGATCATGATGATGATGCTGATGCTGATGCAAATGTTGATGCTGATGATGATGACGAAGATGATGAGGATGATGATGATGATGATGATGATGATGATGATGATGACCATGATGATGCTGATGATGATGATGATGATGATGATGATGATGATGATGCTGATGATGATGATGATGATGATGATGATGATGATGATCATGATAATGATGATGATGATGATGATGATGATGAGGAGGAGGAGGAGGAGGAGGATTATGATGATAATGTTCATTGCGGTGATTATGATATGATGGTGGTGATGATGATGGTGATGAGGATGACGTAAGCTGAGGACGAGGATGGTGAGGACGGTGATAATGATCGTGATATAAGGATGATAAGGGGAAACACCTCGATTGCGACCTCGACTTCGAGGACTGCGACGCAGAGGACGGCGAGGACGACGACGACGCCGCCGCGGACGAATGTCGTTGTCGACGTCGACGTGGTCGTCGGCATCGCCGTCGGCATTGCGGTTGTTGTCACCCTCGCCGTCGCCTTTGTCGTCGTCGCAGCCGCCGTCCCCGTCGCTGTCGCTGGTGTCGTCGGCGGCAGCGGCATCGTTCTCGTCTTCGGCTTCGGCGACATGTCTTCCGTCGTCGTCGCAGCGGAGGTCAAGGTTGTCGGTGGTGTCGTCGTCCTCCTGGTGGTTGCCGTTGTCGTCGCAGTAGGGGGCAGGTGGGAGGGATGGATGAGCAGGGTGTGGTAGGGCAGGGAGGGATCGAGGGGGCGAGGGAGGGAGGGGGGGGGAGGGAGGGAGGAGGAGGAGGAGGAGGAGGAGGAGGAGGAGGAGGAGGAGGAGGAGGAGGAGGAGGAGGAGGAGGAGGAGGAGGAGGAGGAGGAGGAGGAGGAGGAGGAGGAGGAGGAGGAGGAGGAGGAGGAGGAGGAGGAGGAGGAGGAGGAGGAGGAGAGGAGGAGGAGAGGAGGGGAGGAGACCGAAGAGGAGGAGGAGGAGGAGGAGGAGGAGGAGGAGGAGGAGGAACCAGGAGGAGATGGAGGGGAAGGAGGGAAGGAGGAAGGAATGAGTAGGGAGGAGGCTTGAGAGGCAAGATGAGGGAGGAGGGTTGAGGGGGAGGAAGAGTGGCGCCTGGAAAGGAATGAAGGACGAGGGTGGGGGTCAGGAGGATGCGCAGGGAGGGGGAGACGGAGGAGGCGTAGGAAGCAGATCGGGAGACACGGAAGTTGCAGAGGCGGGGTCGCAGCACCAGGGATCGGGATCAGGGCATGGAGGCCAAGGGAAGGAGGACGGCCGAGTCGGGGGACCATGATACCCGGCGTCGTCGAGTGCAATGTCAGCTCGGCAACCTCCCCCTCCTCCCCGCTGGCGCCCCCTCCCCCCTGATCTGCGTGCTCTTCTAGGACTCCCCTCCAAGGTGAGCACCTTGGAGGGAGGCAGTTCACCTTCGGAGTGTGAGCACCGTATCAGCCCCAAGGTTTCTGGCGTTGTGCAAAGTTTCGCTACACAGAGTCAGAGTTGTGAGTGCGCCGAACGCGATACAGCTGTAAGTCGTCAGACTCTTATGGGCTACCACGCAGCCATTCCGGCTCGAGCGGTTCTCAACCGCTTCCTGCCGAGAGAGCCAGGTTGCCCTACTCACCGTCACCCGGCTTCGCTCCAGCATTGCTTCTGCCGCGCACACCGACGTTCGCACCTCGATATCTTATTCAGCGGCCCTTCGAGCCAGGCCGTGGGCCACCACTCGCCACCAGCGGGTCCTGCATCAGCGGCCACCACCCCCTGGGCCGAGGGCCACCGCCCCAGCGGGCCCCCCCATCGACAATCGAGGAACAGAGAACGCGATGCGCACAAGCAGTCGGAGGTCCGCGCGGATTTCTTGGATTTGCGACGGCCCTCCCCTGGTGGCGCTTCAGGCGCCGCCCCTGGAGCGCTCCGCCTGTCAGGGAGGGGGGTCCAGCGCAGGTCCAAGAAGTCCGCGCGGACCCCCGAGATCGCCGGCCTGGAACATGCCCCTTTCGGTGTGATGGCCATCGCCCGACCTCGATGCCCATCTCCAGGACTCCCTCGGCTTCTGAGGGGGGGCGCACCCCCAAGATTTCTCGTCGCAGCTTGGCTCGTCAGCCGTGGGGTGGCAGGGACAAGCTCGAGGCTGGTGAAGAGAAACGGCTTGTGCTCCATGCTGTTGCTCTGTTCTTCTCGGCAGAGCCCGCTTGGCGCCGGCGCTGCCAGCCGCCCGGCAACACACCTTCGAGGTCTGGGCCTCCGCCCCGCCGCTGGCCGCCCTGCGCTGCCCTGCGCTGCCCTGCGCGGCCCGCGGCCGGCGCTCAAGGTGCCGGGCGGGGACGCAGCCGCAGAATGACCACCGCCGGGGATGGAGGGCTCTTCGGTTAGGGCGGGCATGTCCTCCCACAGGCGGATTGTGGGAGGAAAGTATACACGAGCCGAAATATATTCAAGCGCAAGCAGAAATATGGTTGAAAAGTCGCTCCCACATGAATGCTTGACTCTTTTTGAATATTCCTCCTGCAGAGGGACACGCCCGACTTAACTCTTCGGTGCAGTTGAGACCCATGCCAAGAAACACCATGCTTGCCCCCAGGATGCCCTGGGTTTCTTGGGTTTCGATTTTTTTCTCCATGGAAAAAGCGCGACGTCCCCACGCCAAAAGTCCATGAACGTCCTGGGGCCTCAGGGTTGGGTTTCTCGTGGGAGGCTTCTTGTGGACTGGCCCCCACTGTAGGGGTGCCCAGACACGCGCGCGTCGCACAACAGGCACGGCGCCAGGTTCTTGGCCGTCGTCGGCCCCTGGGGGCCCTCGCCGGGCCTCGGGGCCGTCCAGCGACGACTCGGGGCGAAGAGGCGGGCCCCATGGGGACGGGGTCGGGATTCTCGAGGACCCCGTATCGAAGACACCGGGCCATCGCAGGTCTGGGCATACAGCACGGCACGTGCAACGGGAAGGCGGCCCACCAGCAGGTGCCCCACTGATGGCCCCACGGCCCAGAGAAGCCCTGGGGCACCTCAGTACCCTCAGGGATCGACGACAAGTGTGCCCCGAGACTTCTTCGTAGCAAGATCTCGAATCTTATGACAGCCAGCGTGGGCCCCAAGCAGGAAGTCATTGTCTGACGTCCCTGCACTGTGGATGTAAGCAATGTGGTGCAATCGATGTGAAGCGTTCCAGAAAAGGCCTCGCCTTCGAGGTTCGAAGGGGTTTGCATCATCTCTTCCTCGGTGGCAGGCGGCGGAGGGGCGGCGGAAGCTCGCGGAAGTAAAACGAGGGCGGCTCCGCCGGCGGAAGCCCGCGGAAGGAGAGCCCGCCTCCAAGAGATGTCAACCTTCTTGGGTTCTGGGCTTCTGGAATCATCCACGCAGTGCAAGCCACGTGGTGCAGCAGTCTGCGTCACGTAGACTGCTGCACCACTGGTGATAGCAAGTAAGAGGTATCACCACTTGTGATAGCTATCACCACTGGTGATAGCAAGAGAGACTACTGTACCTCTTGCTATCACCACTGGTGATCGCAAGAGGTATACACGGGGCGCCCACAGGCGGCGGCCTGGCAACCACCTCGCCCGACCCACCCAGCGCCCGAGGCGGCCACGAGGCGGCCGCCGGAGGCAGCGTGGCGAAGCCTCGCCCGGCCCACCGCGGTCCCTGGGGGGCAGGAGTATGAGAGCCCCTAATCAGAGCGTGAATTACCTACCCCGCTTTCGCTTCCAGGAAAAACCCAGTCATACCACGCGCCTCCTCGTCAAGCGGCCTGACCAGTACAGGCCGTAGTTTGGCATCGCTTGGTATCTCTTGGAAGCGAGGGTGGTCAAAAGCGAGGTAGGTTTGTTTTCCCCCTACCTGAGTTCCCCAAGTTCGGCGACTGCAGAGGGTATGGTCTTGCGCCGGGGTGTGGCTTGCGATCGGCGCCGTTGGGGCCTGGGAGGCACGCCGCTGTCCTCGTCGGGCCTCCTCGGACCGCGCGGCAGGGACCTCCGTCGAGGTCTCCGCCCGCCCCCCCGGGGGGGCCCCGAGGGGTGCCGGGTGCAAACCGCAGCTTTTGCAAACCACACCCTTCGGAGTCGCCGACTGAGGGACAGGACTGAGATGGCCCTGGTGCAAGTTCGGGCCCTGGCGGGCCCAAGTCTACGCACATCCGCCGCCCGCCGAGGCCCCCAAAGGTCGATCCCCCAGGCGGCGGCTCTCATGACGAGCCTGGAGTGGCTCCCGATCCCTATGATTGACGTCGCCTGGTCTCGATGCCGCACCAAGGATTCCCTCCGTTTCTGAGGGCGCATCCCTCAGAATGCCAGCGCCGCTGGGCCGCTCAATCTGCGGGACGGGGATCAGATCGAGGCCGGTCATCCTGCGGATCGGCCCCCGCCTCGGACGAGGCGCCGTGCCAGCGGTGGGAGTTCCCGAGGACGCAGGCTCCGCCGCCGCCTCGGGCCGACAAGCTCGAAGGGCAAAAGGCGGCATAAACACAAACTTTTGGCGGGTTACGCGGCTTTCTCGGATCTGCGTTGGGAGCCCTTAGCCTCGCCTCTGGCACCGCCCCGCGCGCTCCGCTTGCCAGGGAGGGGGGTCCAGCTCAGATCCAAGGAAGCCTCGCGGACCCCCGAAATCCCCAGCAATGGGCATATCCCTATCCCTGTGATTGGCGTCGCCCGATCTCGATGCCGATCTTGCGGGCTCCCTCGGATTCTGAGAGGCGCACCACTAAGATCGTCATCGCGGTTTGGCTTGTCAGTCGTACCCTGAGATCCTGGCGCTGCATTTTTATGCACAACGGGTGTTTTCGCCCAATTTCGGGCCCCGGGATCCTCACATATCGATCTGGCTCGAAACCTGGCGCAGAAAGATGGGTCCCGAGGCTCCGGTGGTGATCCCCTGCGCTGTTGCAACCTGGGTGCAGCGCCGCACCTCCGGGCAGGGGGTATAGGGAGGAGCTCGAGGCTGGTTCGGAGAGGGCTCGTGCTTCTGCCGTCGCTTGCTCCTCTGCGAGCGGAGCCGATGCCCCGCCGCGGGCGCCACGCCCGAGGGCGCTCCGCGCCGCAGGCCCGCCGCGCGGCCGCCGCAGGGGCGCCGGCGCCGCCGGCGGCCGCGGAGGCGCCGACGCCGGGCGGCACCCCGAGCGGCCGGGCCCCGGCGCCGGTCGCGGACGCGCCCGAGGCCGGGGTCGGCGGGCTCGTCGTCGTCGTCGTCGTCGTCGTCGTCGTCGTCGTCGTCGTCGTCGTCGTCGTCGTCGTCGTCGTCGTCGTCGGCGGGGTCGTCGTCGACGTCGGCGTCGTCGGCGTCGTCGTCGTCGGGCGTGCCCGCCGGCGTGACCCTTCGCCGGAGTGTCATGGGAGGAAGAGGTTCGTGCCCATATGCTGCTACCCTTCCCGTGTTTTCCTCGTTGGGCCTCCCGTGGGAGGCCCTCGTCGCCACCGCCAGATTCGCCTCGACATGCTGGTCAGAGCGCGCCCCGGGAGAGGCCTGGGGAGTGGCGGCATCGGTGCCTCTGGCTTTCTCAAGGTAGTTACCCTTCGCTGGAGTGACCTCCTGTGCGGGCTCACTGGGGCCCCCCGACCGGCGGACGCGATGCGGTAGGATGCGCTCGGGTGTGGCCACCCCGCGCCGCCGCTTGAGCCGCGCACCAGAGGTCACTCTTGCCCAGGCATGCTCCTCGCGTGCAGCCGACAGGCCACCCCGACGCCCCAGACCCCTTCCCGGACTCCGAGGCGGGATCAAGCCATCACCACCGCCTGGGGGACCGATCTTCGCGGACCTCCACGGGCGGTGGGCATGGGCATGTTCGGGTCCTCTGGATAGGGGGATGAACATGGACATGAACATGAAAACTCGGAGGTCCGCGCGGATTTTTTGGCTCGGCGCCGTGCTGTGGCCGATGCATCTTCTGACGGAGTTTTTCCCGCCAGAAATGTGCTCCGCACGGTGCGAGCAAGTGGGGCGGAAATGTCCGCCTCAGAAGTAGGGGGATACGGTAGGTTCATTCTAGGCCCCTAGATGGGGTCGGAGCAGATGGGGTTGGAGGATCGTGCCGCATCGCCGATGCATCGGCGATGCGGCTCGATGTGGAGCCCGATTTTCTCCACGCTGGCGTCGCCGATGGATCGCCGATGTCGCCGATGCATCGCCGATGCATCGGCGATGTATCGCCGATGTATCGGCGATGTGGCGCGATCCTCCAACCCCATCTACTCCGACCACATCTAGGAGGCATCTATTCATGCGGCGTTGGCGCGCAAGCGACGCCAGCGAATGCGCTCAGTTCAAAGTTGAGGTCTGCGACGCGGAAGCACCGAGGGACACGGAAACGCCGCTGGACCCGACGAAATTCAACCTTGAACAATCGGGGCCGCGATCGATTCAAGGTTGAAAATCTCTGCGCGCGCTGACGTCGCACGAACCGACCGGATGTTCGCAGAAGTTTGGCGGAAATTGCGGTGGTAAAGTAGGGCGTAAGTCGACACCGAAGATTTGGAACCGTAGAGCGGACATTTCCGCCCTACTTGCGAGATCGCCCCAAAGCACGACAACTCCGAAGTCATGACATCCTCGCGTCCTGAAAGGGTCCCGGCGGTGGGCTTCCGGCAGTTTTCAACCTCCATCAAAGATCGATGCTCCTCAGGACGTGTGTTAGCCCAATGTGTGTTTGCCCCCTTCAGCCCAACCAGTTGATCACTACATCGCCTGCTTCGTATCGAAGGGCCTTGATGGACAAACACACGTTGGGGCTAACACACGCTCTGAGGATCGTCGAAAAGAGCGGCATCGGCTCGAGAGGGAAAGCCGGTCCCCCTGGGGGGAAGGTGGCGAGACCTGTGCGGGCCCTTGTGACGTGGCCAATTGTTCAGGGCGTCAGGGGGGTGGGGCAAGGAGGTGGCGCGAGTGCGGATGCCTTCTGATCATCGTTTGTTCCTATCGCTTTTTTGTTTGAAGGAGTTAGTTGCTTCATCAAAAAACCCTAACCGTTACCCGAATAACGCAATGAGGACGTGGCCTAGTTCAGGTCCCCGTTTCTTGCATTCGGATGATAATGCGGGGGGGTCGGTTTGATACAGCTGCAGAAAAGACTCAGGAGGGAAAGACACACAGAGACACGCAGAATCGTCAATTCCCAAAGAAATATGGGGAAACATGGAAAGGATGGAGGAAGACGAACATTGAAGAAATACTGGAAGATGTGGGGAATCGTGGGATTTGTGCTTCCTTATTTTTGTGTGCCTGGGCCTCCTTTTAAAGACCCCCATCTATTCCTGATGGTTTCGGCCCTCCTGACTCGGGTCCCCTCCCCAAGAGGGTTATATGGGATTCTTTTTGTCGCGAGTCGTCCGAGAAAGGCGGGAGGGCGCCTCTGAGCAGAGGCAGGGGGGCCTTCCGCGAACAGAACCGCGCCCACACCACGCGGCGCAGCGCCCACGCGGCGCACACGCAGCGCAGCGCAGCGCAGCGAAGCGCAGCGCAGCGCAGCGCAGCGCAGCGAGCAGCTCGGGGAGCGGCCCGGCCCGCCCTACAAAGCGGCGCCCCCCCCCCCCAAAAGGTGGGGCGGCTGCACGTGTCTCAACGTCGCGGCGCGGCAGCGGCAGTCCGCACGGGCAAGTCGGGCAAGCCGGGGCGAGGGCATCTCGCGAAGCCTGAGGCGCGGCCACACGCGCGGAGAGATGCACGACGACGGCACGTGTCACAGAAGAAGCACTCTTGAAGTCCGCGGGCGCCAGGGTGTGCGCGAGACGGTCGGGCGCCGGGCGCGCCTCCCCCTCCCCTCCCCCGCGCCCCCTCCTGTCTTCTCGTCTGTCGTCCGTCGCACGTCGTCGTGTCGTGCCACTGGGCCCCGTCTGCGCTTGTAACAAGGGCGAGACGGTCGGCGCGGGTCAAAGCGAGCGGTGGGCCGCACCGGAAGCTGTACGATGCAGGCGCGGAGCGGGTGGGCAACGAGACGGAAGGAAAAGAGACAGAGACGGAGCTCGATCAGACCATGCAGGTCGGCGCGAGAGTGAGAGGGAAGGGCATGCAGCTGCGCACGAGCAGCGGGTCACCTGCTCCGCATAACAAGCACACCGCTCCCAGGCCTAACAGATAGGCGCCCGGGGGCTTCGAGAGGATAAGACTTCCCGGGGGCTGGGAAGGCCTCCATGTGGAAGGCCCCCTGCCCTTCACGGAGACCCCCGACGCCATGACTTTCTCACACCGTCGAACCCCAGAGGTCTCGACCCATTCCCTGGAACTAGTTTCTCATTCCGAACTGTTTTTTGATGATCCTGAGGCGCACTAGAGGCCCCTGGAGGCAAAACGCGGCCAAAGATCGCCCGCTCCATTTTTGTTCGGAGCGCCGGATCTCCAGGACGGAGCCCCCCCCGTCCCCGCCCTCTCGGAGGAGCACCCTTCTCGCCCTCCACCCCCTCGTGGTGCGCGCTGCCGAGGAGGGGCGCCTCGGCGTCCCCTACGTCAGCCGGCCCCGCTTCCGCGAGGAGTTCCGGCGCGTGCGGCTGCTCGGCCGCGGCGGCTTCGGCGAGGTGTGGCGCTGCGAGCGCGCCGCGGACGGGGTGGAGGCTCAACGGGGAAAGGTACACATGCCGCTACCCCTCCCTCGTTTTCCCCTTTTTGGGCCTCCTGGGAGGCCCGCGTCGCCAACGCCGGCTTCGCCTCGAAGTTCTTGTCAGAGCGCGCCCCGGGAGAGGTCCGGGGAGCAGCGGCATCGGTTCGTTTTGGTTTGACCACGAGGTCGCGGTGAAGGTCGTGCGGTACCGGACGGGTGGCGCTGTCGGCAAGAGCGTCGAGCAGCACGTTCTGCGCGAGGCTCGAGGAAGAATCCATCCTGCAGGAACATGATGCACTTTCGGATGTTCACGCGGCTGTCTCGGGTCGGCGCTGGGCTCCCTCGGGGGCGCCGACCCCGGCGCCGTCCCACGAGGTCCGCGCGCACCTCCGAGAGCTTCTTCCGTCGGAGACCCAGGAATGACACCAACACCAATATCGGCGGTGTGCCTCCACCGAGGGGAGATGATCCCAATCTCGGGAATGGCGGTAGTAATTATTTGGGCTTCCTGGGTGACCGAAATATTCCCACCAACGCCAACATCTAGGATAGTTTTGCTTCGGTGGAGGCAAACCATCATTTTGGTGTTGGCGCTCATTTCCATGCTTCCAATTCTGCGATCGCTTGCGAACCCTGCCACTGGGGGTCCACTCGACGCAGGGGTATCGGGTATCGGTCACCCTCGCGAGGGCTCACTTGGCTGCAGACATCCCTCGAATTCTGAACCCCAGCCAGCGCCTCAGAAAGCTGTCCAGCAGGGTTACTTCGGGTTCACACGCCGTTGCCTTCGCGCAAGTGCAGTCGAGCATCCGAGTGAGAAACCTCCCGAAAAGCTGGGCCAGTGCTTCTCAACCAACTTGCCCAAAAGCTGACCCAGTTTCCTGTGCAGGCTCGCCCCTCCAGAGTCAGCAACAGATCTTTGTCCAGGCTCGCTCCCAGAAGCTTCCGGGAAGCTGGCCCAGATCTCTCAAGTCAGAATTTTCATACATGTGTCGCCGCGCCATTTGTTCCGACGCGATGCCTTCGTCTTGGGAAGGGCACCGTGGCCACCAGGCAGACGCCGCCTCGGACGCAAGGTTCGCCGCGGGGTTTGTCGCGGTGTGGGCGTCGTCTGCTGGGGCGCGGGGCGCAGGGCTTGCCGTGGGTTTGCCGTGGTGTCGGCGTCGTCCACTTGGGCGCGTCGCGAACAAACGGCGCGGCGACATACATATCTAAATTTGCATACACAACATGCATAAATACATACCAATACATATGCATGTACATGTAATGCGATATGCATATACCAATATATATATATGTATATATATATATGTATATATATGTATACATATGTGCAATTGCACATGCATATCGTACACACATATATATGTATTACACAGATGTGTGTCGAAGTATATATACATCTGTAGATGATCGGCCATACCTCAGTGCTGCTGCCCCTCCAGAGGTGGAGGCCCTGAGGCTCCTCGGGGGCCACCCGAACGTGGTGCGCTACCACCGGGCGTGGATCGAGCCGGACGCCGGCGGCGAGGCGGCCCCCGGGCCCCGGCCGTCGCCGCTCTGGGCGCCGCCGCCCTCCCCGGCCGTGCAGCCGCTGGGGCCCCCGGCGGCGCTCGAGGGCCCAGGCACTCGGAGAAGATTCGGGCAAGTTTGATTACATGGCGTTCGCCCCCCCCCCCCCCCCTCTCCCCCCCACCCCCGTCGCCCTGCTTTCGGGGGCGGAAAAGAGGGGGGTGTGATGGCTAGGGGGGGTGGATATCATGGCGGGGGCCATGGTATTTCCCCAGAGTTCATGGCGCCTCTTCTTATTTCATTACGTCCCTGGCCCCCCCGCTGGGCCGCGCACGTGCCGCCGGTCATGATTTGCATCCCCCCCTTTTGGACCCCCCCCGTCGCCCTGCTTCAAACGAGTACCAGCGTGCATGTGCCTTTCGACTTGCGTGACTTCCCGCACGTGCACGTCGTTTCCGCGGATTGCTTCAGGTTCAGCCCCCACCCGTCCATGCAAGTAAACTTGCTGGAGTCCAAAACAAAGCTCGAATAACAATGATACTAACAGTATTAAGAAGATGTACTCAGACAAAGAAGAGTAGGGGGTGATGGCTAGGGGGGGTGGATATCATGGCGGGGGCCATGAGATCTCTCCTCATTTCATGGCGCCTCTTCTTAGTTCATTATGTCCCCGCCCCCCCCCCGGGCCGCGCACATGCCGCTGACCATGATTTGCGCCCCCCCCCCCCCCCCTCTTCGACGCCCTCCTCTTGGACGCCCCCGAGAAGAAGAATACCCTGAGATCCTTTCGTTTGGATTTTTCGAGCCGGGCGTTTTCGTCAGACGTCGGGCCTTGAGGCCCTCACAGATCCAGATCCAGCTCGAAAATTGGCGCAGAAAGATAGGATGCTTGGCTCCTGTCGCGATTGTTGTTACGATGCTTTTTTTTTTTCGCGCCGTCGGATCTCAGGGTAGCCAGAATAAACCAGAGACGCATAAGAATAATCAGACAAACAATACGGATGATACTGATGACGATGATGATGCTGATGCTGATGCTGATGCTGCTGCTGCTGCCGCTGCTGCTGCTGCTGCTGCTGCTGCTGCTGATGATGATGATGATGATGATGATGATGATGATGATGATGGTGATGCTGATGATGATGATGATGATGATGATGATGGTGATGATGATGATGATGATGATGATGATGATGATGATGATGATGATGATGATGATGCTGATGATGGGGCAGAGGGAGAAGGATGAAGAGAGGAGGATCACAATAATGACAACAGTTCTAGGCCCCCCAGATGGGTTCGGAGTAGATGGTGTCGGAGGATCGCGCTGCATCGGCGATGCATCGGCGATGAATCGGCGACGCCGACGTGGATGAAATCGCGCTCTACATCGAGCCGCATCTGGGAGGCCCCTAAGAACCGGCATAAACATGAGCTTTTCGATGCTGATGCCGCTACCGTTGCTTCGTTCTCGCCTTTTTGGGGCCACCTGGGAGGGCCTCGTCGTCACGGCTGAATTTCTTTCGAAGTTCTGGTCAGAGTGCACCCCAGGAGAGCTCCGAGGAGTAGCGTATAAACACACATTTCAGGAGCTCCGCGCGGATTTATTTGATCAGCGCTTGGCCTTGCTGGCGGCGCCTCCAGCGCCGCCCCTGGCGCGCTCCGCGCACTGGGGAGGGGGCCCAGCGCCGATCCAATGAATCCGCGCGGAGTTCCGAACGTTTCTGCTTATGCCGTTGTTCGTATTCCAGGCATCTTCTCCAGTGTGTCGTGCCCCAGCGACGACGACTCCAGCCTCTTCAGCTCGGACGAGGGCTCTGCTGGCAGCCGCGTGGTGTTCTTCAAGTCCGTCGAGGACGGGGCGGAGGTGGCTTCCCCCACGTTGCCGACAGCGCCAGCGTCGAACGAGATTGCAGCCCCGTTGGCAGAGGCCGCTGCGGCTCCGAACGCGGGCCGATGCACAGGCGGCACGGCTGCCGCCGCCGAGCAGGACCACCACGTATCGCGGAGCCCCGTGCAGGACAGGGACCAGAGCCCCGATTGCTTCGCGACGCTGTATATACAGGTCGAGCTATGCGAGGAAGAGACGCTGCAGGGCTGGATTGGCAGCCGCAACGCCTGGTGCGCCGACGGCGGCCGCCTGGACGCGGACACGCCATGGCAGGGCCGCAGGCCCGTAGACATCACTCTCCAGTGCGCTCGGGCCCTGGCGCACATGCACAGCCGCTCCTGCGTGCACAGGGACGTGAAGCCCTCCAACGTTCTGTTCGCCCTGCGCAGCGGCGCCGTGCGGCTGGGCGACTTCGGCCTTGCAAAGGTGGTCCAGCGGCACCAGGACCCAAGGGATAGCCCCGCTGGCACAAGTGGCGGTTCGCCTTCGAAAGCGTCGCGGCGGGGCTCGCGGGGCACCATGGGCACGCCCTCCTACGCGAGCCCTGAGCAGCTGTCCGGCGGCCCGCTGGGGGCGGCGACGGACGTGTACGCCTTGGGCCTGGTTCTCGCAGAGCTCATCTGTCCTGTGCGCACACAGATGGAGAGGGCCGCGGTGCTCGAGGGGCTCCGTGTACACCGCCGCGTGCCGCTGGGCCCGGCGGCCACCTTCCCCGAGCTCGCGCGTCTTGCGGTGAGGATGACCGACCCGGATCCCGTGCAGCGGCCCACTGCCAACGCCATCCTGCGCCGCCTGCGCAGGGCCCGCCGCAGGGCCCGCGGGGCCGAGGGCGCCGGCGCCGCAGACGCGCCACCGGCAGGCACCTCTGCTGCCGCGGCCCGCCCGCCCAATCTTAAGGGACGGCCCTCGCCGGCACCTCCACGCTGCAAGCAGCGCCGCTCCCGCCGCGAGGGGCCCGCCGTTGGCCGCGCGCACTCCCAGCGGCCCTGGCCGCAGCAGCAGCAGCAGCAGCAGCAGCAGCAGCAGCAGCAGCAGCAGCAGCAGCGGGTGCCTCGGCGCGCGCCACTCCTGGCGTCGCGCGCGCCCTGCGCGGCACTGGCCACGCAGAGGCGGTGGCCTCCCCGTGTGTGCCCGGCGCTTGCGGCCTCGTGAGGGCGGAGGAGCTGGACCGCGTGGCGAGAGCTGGCTCACACTTCGACGAGTGGCCAGTGGCGCCGATGTTTAGCGTGCGGGCGCGCCCTCGTCCGATGCGCTGCTGTGCAGACGTGCCAGCGGAAGGCAGGAGTGCCGAGGGTGCCTGCGGCGAGTCGCCGCCCCCCCTGCCTTCACGTGAGCTCCCGTGCCGTGCAGTGTTGCGTCGTGAGGCGTCCCGCGGGCGTGCGGCCACGCCAGTGGACTGCGTGTGTCCCCCAGCTGCTGGGGAAATCACTGGGGCAACACTGCGGAGGGGGCCTCTGGGGCCGACCGTGGGGCTTTTCTCGAGCCCGTTGGGCCTTCGGCCTCCTGGGGCATCTGGATTCTCCATGGTGGCCGGGACGCTCTCGGACCGTCTGGCGCCTTCAAGAGGCTGTGCGGGGCCCACTCTGGGCCGTCATGTGGCGCCCTTGGGGCCATTTCGGCCCGTCTTCGGGCCCTTTCGGGCCGTCTTGGGCTCTTGGGCCGTCTCGGACGCCCTCAGGGCCGACAGGGCGAGCATCGGAACAGCACTGGGTAATTCGAGGTGCTTCAGCGACTTCGAATGGCTTCTTGGGCCGACCCTGGGGGTCCCCAAGACGGCAGGAGCCCTCTAATACTCGTCGGGAGAGCTTTCGGTATGCTGTTTTTCCCAACCCTCCTTGGTTGGGTATTCGTTTTGAATAGAGGGGTGTGGTCGCGTCTCTCCTTCTCCTCCTCCTCCCGCCTCCCGCCTCCTCTCGCCTCCTGCCCTCTCTTCGCCGTCGCTTGGGGGCTGCGATCTGCGAAACTGTCGCCACTTTCGAGGGCTGCAGGTGGGTCCTGCGGAGTGAGGCACCGCGCAGATCTGAGCGAGACCTCGCCGTCCCTGGGGGGCTGCGATTTGCGAAACTGCCACTTTCGAGGGCTGCTGGTGGGTCCTGCGGAGTAAGGCACCGCGCAGATCTGAGCGAGACCTCGCCGTCCCTGGGGGGCTGCGATCTGCGAAACTGTCACCACTTTCGAGGGCTGCTGGTGGGTCCTGCGGAGTGAGGCACCGCGCAGATCTGGTGGGTCCTGCGGAGTGAGGCACCGCGCAGATCTGAGCGAGACCTCGCCGTCCCTGGGGGGCTGCGATCTGCGAAACTGTCGCTTTCGAGGGCTGCTGGTAGGTTCTGCGGGGTGAGGCACCGTGCAGATCTGAGCGAGACCTCGCCGTCCCTGGGGGGCTGCGATCTGCGAAACTGTCACCACTTTCGAGGGCTGCTGGTGGGTCCTGCGGAGTGAGGCACCGCGCAGATCTGGTGAGTCCTGCGGAGTGAGGCACCGCGCAGATCTGAGCGAGACCTCGCCGTCCCTGGGGGGCTGCGATTTGCGAAACTGTCGCCACTTTCGAGGGCTGCTGGTGGGTCCTGCGGAGTAAGGCACCGCGCAGATCTGAGCGAGACCTCGCCGTCCCTGGGGGGCTGCGATCTGCGAAGCTTTCGCCACTTTCGAGGGCTGCTGGTGGGTCCTGCGGAGTGAGGCACCGCGCAGATCTGAGCGGGACCTCGCCGTGCCTAGGGGGCTGCGATCTGCGAAGCTTTCGCCACTTTCGAGGGCTGCTGGTGGGTCCTGCGGAGTGAGGCACCGCGCAGATCTGATCGGAGCCTCGCTGTTTCAGGGGGGCGGCCGTGTTGGAGGCCATCTTGGACCATTTTGGGTGAACCTGGAGGCCGTCTTGGGCCATCTTGGCCATCTTGGAAGCCATGTTGGAGCCATCTGGAGCAGGACAATCTTTTGGAGCCACCATTTCCGGGCCATTCCGGGACCCCGGCGGGCGGGGCCGAAACCGCAGGGGGGGTTCTTTTGGGAGTTCTTTTTGGAAAAAGCGAAAGGACTCAGCACGCCTGGCACCCCTGTGATGAATCAACAGGGGGCGGCGGATCGAAGACGCCTACCGCGAATCACCGCCGCCCCCTGCCTTTTTGGAAGCGCCTATGTGGCCGAACGTTGAGGCCAGGCCTGCCAAGCTATCGGACCATGTGTTCCCCGAATCGGTTTGGAAAGCCTTCGGGGAACACGTGGGCATCTTGAATGTCATCTTGGCCGTCTGGAGGCCATTTTGACCCTTTCGGGCCTTCTTGGATGACGTCTTGGAGGACGTCTTGGAGGGCTCTGGGCCGTCTTGGAGGCCATCTTGAGCGTCTTGGAGACCTCTTGGGCCGTCTTGGGGGTCTCTTGGGGCCGTGTCTTGGGCCTCTTGTGCGATCTTTGGGGGCACTTGGGCCATCTCGGGCCGTCGGAAGGCAGAAAAACAGCAAATGCCACAATCCTTCAAAAACCAATGGGAAATCAATGATGATTGCCTTTTCGGGCCTTCTGGAGGCCCTCTTGGAGGCCTCTTGGGCCGTCTTGGGCCATCTTAGAGCCACGTTCGGCCGTCTTGGTGGGCTCATGGTCCGTCTGACGCCGTCGGAAGCCGTTTGGGGGGCCTCTATGGGCCGACTTGGGGTCCTCTTGGAATGCTCCAGGGCCGTCTTGGAGGCCCATCTTGGGCGTCTTTAAGGCCTCCTGTGCCGTCTTGGGGTCCTCTTGGGGTCCTCTTGGGGCCCTCTTGGGCCGTTCTGGGGCCATCCTGGAGGCCTCTTGGGCGATCTTTCGGCGATCTTCGGGGGCTCTTGGGCCGTCTCGGGCCGTCGGAAGGCCGAAAAGAAGCAGATGTCAAAATCCGTCAAACATGTTAGGAAAATCAATGTTTTGGGCCTCCTCTGGCCTTCCTGGAGGCCCTCTTGGGAGCCTCTTGGGCCAGCTTCGAGCCAACTTCGGCCATTTTGGTGGGTTCCTGGCACGTCTGACGCCGTCGCGTCGGGAGCCGTCTTGGGGGCCTTTCTGGGCCGTCTTGGGGCCCTCTTGGGGCGCTTCGGGGCTGTCTTGGAGGCCATCTTGGGCGTCTTGGAGGCCATCTTGGGCGTATTGGAGGCCTCTTGGGCCGTCTAGGGGCCCTCTTGGGGACGTCTTGGAGGCCACTTGGGTCGTCATGGGGCCCTTTCGGGGGCCTCTTGGGCGATCTTGGGGGCCTCTTGGGCCGTCTTGGGCCGTCGGAAAGCCGAAAAGGCGCACATGCCAAACTCCTTCAAAAACCTAAGGTAAATCAATGATTTTGGCCTTTTCGGGCCTTCCTGGAGGACGTCTTGGAGGGCTCCTAGGCCGTCTTGGAGGCCTCTTGCGGGCCTGTTGGGCCGACTTGGGGCCCTCTTGGGGCCATCTTGGGCCGTCTTGGACGCCATCTTGGGCCAACTGGAGGAAACAGAGGCACGACGGACGCGTTTTGAGATCCTTTCTGGGCGGCCGGCGGGACAGTGACGGGCCGACGCCCCAGGGGGAGTTCTTTTGGAAGAAGAACCCAAACCAAGAGCCATATCATCCGGCACGCCAGGCACCCTTTGATAAATCAAAAGGGGGCGGCGGACTCGGCGGCATTCGGCCCATCCCGCCACCGTGCCTGGGCTGTTGACCAGCGGCGAATCAGGGGCCTTTCGGGGTCACCGGGGAAGCCTGCTGAAGGCTTCTTGGAAACTGGTTCGGGACGTTTCAGAAGCCTCTTGGATGATGGGCTTGTTTTACACCAACACCACCACCAGAAGTTGGAGGGGGAGGGGGTCTTTCTCCTCCTCCTCCTCCTCCTCCTCCTCCTCCTCCTCCTCCTCCTCTTTCTCTCCGTCCTCCTCCTCCTCCTCCTCCTCTTTCCCCCCTCCAACTTATGGTGGTGGTGGTGGAAAGCAGGCCCATCATTGGAGTCCTCTTGGGGCCTCCTGACTACCTCTTGGGGGTCTCTGGGGTGGGCTAGGGGTCATCTTGGGGTGGAGGGCTCCAAATGTCAGTTCGTGTTTCCTCTCTTGGGCTCCCCTCCTCCTCCCCCTCCCCCTCCTCCTCCTCATCCTCATCCTCCTCCTCCTCCTCCTCCTCCTCCCCCTCCTCCTCCTCCTCCTCCTCCTCCTCCTCCTCCTCCTCCTCCTCCTCCTCCTCCTCCTCCTCTCTAAGAGGCCTCTTCTGCCATCTTGGGCGCTCTTTACACCGAAAAGGCAATCATGCCCGAATCTCATCAGAACCAAAAGTATATGGCTATCGTTTTGACTTCTAGGGACGGCCCCAGGGCGTCAAAACGGTTCAGGAGGCCCTCGAGAGAGCTAGCACAGGCCACCGGCATCATCGTATATCATGTTCGAGTTTCAGGCCCCAAGCTACGCTGCCGAGGCCTCCGACCAAATAATGTTGGGATTCCAAAGAGCGCGCGAGATCGCCAATGACGCGGGGGTCTTGCCCCTGAGCGCATGTACAACATTCATTGCGTAGAACTCCAAGGGACCTGAGGCAAATCCACTCAGTGCCTTCGGCATGGTGGCGGATAGAACTGCTATAGCTCAGTCAAGGCCTGACTCAGCGAAGCCTTAATGGGTGGTCGAGCAGCCTGAGGAGGCCTGCTCCCTCTCCACGTTCATCTCTAACCAGCCTCGAGCTGATCCCTATCCTTACAAGATTGGCAAGCTAGAACAAGGCGATGGCAAGCGTAGGGATGAGGGGATCCTCAATATCAGCATCGAGATGAGGCGATGCCAATCAAAGGGATTGGGTATGCTCCAGGCTTGTAAACCTCTTCTCCCCCGCGCACACAACCTGGCGGCAGGTTGGTGATTGCGTTTTCCGGGTTCCCTCCCGTGCCGCCCTGCTCAGGACCGGGCCTCCGGACCCTTTTGCTGCGCGCTCGCCCCGAGTGCGAGGCCATCGTAGCCATTGGTGGCTCCTTGGCTGCCCGACATCCGAGGCGGGGGCTTCTCCATAACCAGCCGCCTGGGGGAGCGATCTTCGGGGACCTCGGCAGGCGGCGAATCTGGGATATTGGTATGCTCGGGCTCCGGGAGGCTGGGTTTCTTCACGTCCGCCGAATGCCGAGGTCCCCGCGGATCGATGCCCCAGGCGGTGCCCAGACAGCCGACGAGCTGTGTCTTCCAGGTCCGCGGCTCCAGAGCCCAGGACTCCTACTCCGGGGGCAGCCTTTCGTCCCAGAGTCTGTTCCTGACAGTCTGGGGTTCGATCCCTGTGGGTCGTTTTTCGTTTGCTTTTGATCCGATAACGGGCCCAAGAGGCGGAGTCGAGCAACAATGTTGGGAATGGACAAGTGAGATCGTCGGAGACCATTGTGATTCTGGATCGGTGCGGTCGACAGGGTTCTGGAATGGATGGCTACGAATACGATCAGCAGCCCCTGCCCATTTTGAACAGCACTCGCTGCAAGCGTCGCCGCGAGCGTTGTCAATCTGAGACAAACGATTGTCTGCCCAACCACGGCCGATGTCGTTTACCGACAGCATTTGCTGGTCGGTATCGTACCCACTTCGTCCGTACCCAATTCGGGCGTGCCAGCTGTCCGCGGTCGACCTGTGTGTACCGTACCACGCAGGCGCCTCCCGAAGCGTCCTCCATCCTCGACCCAGGACAGGTGCGGTGCGAATCGGGCAAACGCAAGATTCGAGTGCGCCAGAACTCGGATTTGCCGACGTTTTTTTGACGAGCGCGTCCAGGATTTTCACGGTCCAGTTTTCGTGGGACGTTTGCAGCGGGTGCTCGCGTCAAATTTCAGACTGGGTCTCGTCATTTTCATGTTGGCCCCGTCAGGCCAACCCGAGTTCCCCGAAACCGAGTCTTACGTCTCCCCGGCTGAAGGGAACCATAATCAGAACCATCAATGGTAAGGGAGTCTCAGGCGAAACGCCCGGCCCGCCCTTCCGACTGGGCCTCGGAGTGCGACGGGGAGAAAGGAACAGAAATGGAGGAGGAGGAAGAGGAGGAAGAGGAGGAGGAGGAGGAGGAGGAGGAGGAGGAGGAGGAGGAGGAGGAGGAGGGAGGAGGAGGGAGGGAGGGAGGAGGGAGGAGGGGGGAGGAGGAGGGAGCAGGGGAGGAGGAGGAGGGAGGAGGAGGAGGAGGAGGAGGAGGAGGAGGAGGAGGAGGAGGAAGGAGGAGGAGCAGGAGGGAGGAGGAGCAGGGGAGGAGGCGGGCCTGGGGGGCCACATAGGCGCACGCCCACCGCAGGCCCGAGGCCCCCGAGGATCGACCCCGCAGGGTGGTGCCCAGGCCTCCGCCGAGCGGTGCTTCCCCGAGCCGCGGCCCCCGAGGCTCCCGACCTCGGCCTCCGTGGGTGGGGTCCGGGCAGATGGCTTAGCATCGCTCGGACGTGTGCATTTTTTCCTTCGGCGAGGACCATCGAGGAGCATCCATGACCATTTGGCGAAAAAACCACGCACGAAACCCAAAAAACACAGGAAATGGACGTCCGATCGATGGCCAGATGGGGGTCGGAGGATCGCGCCGCACGGCCGACGCATCGACGATGCGGCGCGGTGTGGGGCCCGCATTGCCCCACGCCGACGTCGCCGAGAAGTCGCCGATGCATCGGCGATGCGCTGGCGGTGCGGCGCGATGCTTCGATTCGACCCCACCTGCAGTCAACCGTGGCAGTCAGGATGGGGCAACTTTCCAAGGCTACCCCTGCATCCTTGCCCCGTCGGTATTCGGCATCCTCCGGCATTCTGCTGCGCTCCGCACGGGAAACGTCAACATTCACCGAGCGCGTTCCACTACTCGCAAAGTGCCTACTACTCGCAAACGTCCGAAAAGCACATGTCTGTTTTGATGTAATTTGTCGTAGATCCCCCGCGGGGGATCCGGGCCATTTGCGAGTAGTTGCCTTGCGAGTAGTGGAGCGCGCTCGTCTAAACACGGCGGTCCAAGGCGCTTCGCATCCTCACCGCGCATCCTCACTATCCTGGTCGGGTGCACTCGGACCCCATCCTGGGAGGCCTCTACCATCCGCGGCCCGAAGAGCTCCCGACCCCTCCTCCGGGGGACGTCCCTCCGTCCCGGAGCCGTGCCGTGGGCGGCCCCGCGGGGCCAGGCGGGCGGCCCCGGGGGCCGAGGTTCCAGGCCCGAGCGCTGGGAGAGCGGAGCAGGCGGGTCGTCGGAGCTCTGGGCCCCTAGGTGTTCTCGGGCCATGTCTCAGAGCGTGAATTACCTACCCCGCTTTCGCTTCCAGGCAAAACCAAGTCATACCACGCGCCTCCTCGTCAAGCGGCCTGACCAGTACAGGCCGTAGTTTGGCATCGCTTGGTATCTCTTGGAAGCGAGGGTGGTCAAAAGCGAGGTAGGTTTGTTTTCCCCCTAATGTCAGGCGGTCGCAGCACATGGATCAGTGGGGGCGCGGACTGGCGACGGGTCCCGCCTCCACGGGGAATCGCGGAGTTCTGCCGCCGAGCGAGGCGGCAGCGGCCGCGTTCCGGGGAGGGCACCTCCCCCGAGCCATGGATTTGGCGGCCGCGCGCCATATCCATGGATCGCGCGAAGCCATGTTCGCGCGCCCCCGACCACTTCTCGGGCCTCCAGCTAACACCTGCGAGCGGGGAGGAAAATTCATCCTGAGAGATGCCCGGGCACGGCTTCGACGCGCATCGGCGTGGGATGCTCGAACCCAGGCGGTTCTCAAAACAAAAAAAACAAAAATTCTCGGGCCTCCAGCGGCCGTGCGGGACGGCCCGGGCAGAGCCCCAGAGGGAGAGGCGCAGCTGCCCGAGCGCACGACGAGGCACCCACAGCCACGAACACACGGAGCACGGAGCACGAACACGACGGACAGCGGGCGAAGCGCCCGACGAAACACGAAACACGAAACGTCCGAGAGCCCGTTTGTCTAGGCCTCCTAGATGGGGTCGGAGTAGACGGGGTCGGGGGATCGCGCCGCATCGCCGATGCATCGCCGATGCGGCTCGATGTGCAGCCCGATTTGCGTCACGTCGACGTCGCCGATGCATCGCCAACATCGACGATGCATCGCCAGTGCATCGCCGATGCATCGCCGATGCATCGACGATGTATCGCCGATGTATCGGCGATGTATCGGCGATGCGGCAAGATCCTCCGAACCCATCTACTCCGACCCCATCCAGGAGGCCTCTAGTTTGGGTGGCCAGGCATCCATCAAGGGCATACAAAAACGCCCCTACCCTGGGTTACGAGGCGCTGTGCGCTGAAACTCCTGTGGGCTGACAGGGTAAACCCTGCGTGATGTGCCGCGTCCTGGCGGCTCTAGGCTTTGGGGGTTCCCAGGAGGCTTACAAACCACGCACTTGTAACCCAGGGTAGGGTCGTTTTTTCCACCCCTCAAATCCAAACGAAAGCCTGGGACCTGCGCTGCAGTTGACTGGCTCGAGCTCGAGCTTGGGAGTTCCGCGCATGAGATGGGAGTGGCACCCCTCCCCCTGCGGGTGGCGCACCAAGACCACCTGCGCCGCCACCAGGGAGATGGCTGGCCAAATTCCCTCACCAGCTTGGGCGGGAGGGCGCACGTAAGGCTGAGCAGCGCTACAGGAAGATGATGAGGAGGAGGATAAAGGAGGCAGGGGACGAGGGAGACAGTGGTACAAACACGGCCCAGGTTCATATGATCTGGGCGCGTACGCTGCGCGACGGCGACAATACATCGCACCAAGATAAGGGGAGTTCCCAGTGGCGAATCGCAAAAGAAGGACTGGCGCAGCTTCGACTCCAAGGGGAGAAACGGAGGAGGAGGATTAGGAGGAGGAGGAGGAGGAGGCGGAGGAGCTGGGAGGAGGAGGAGGAGAAGGAGTAGGAGGAGAAGGATGAGAAGGAGGAGGAGGAGGAGAAGGAGGAGGGAGGAGGAAGGAGAAGAGCCCGAAAGAGCCGAGAGGGGGGAGACGGACGCACGGCGGGGATTCGTGAGCCACCGATCTTCCCCCTTCGACGCTCGTCTCGATGGCTCTGGATCAGGATTGGAAGGTCGACACAGACACAAAGAAGCGTCGATACCCAGGAACATATCGGAAAACATGGGAGGCGGAGGGGCAGACGAGAGTCAAGAAGGTATGAGAAAATATAGGGAATCCTGGGACGTGTGTCTATTTATTGGTCTGTCCCTGGGCCCCTTGAATGGTTGAGTCCCTGCCTCGCAGTGGGCGCCTCGGCGCGCGCAGCGGATCCAGAGGGCGCGGCTCCTGAGTCGCAGCAGCGCCCTTCGGTGCCGCGCCAGCTCGAGGCCCCCCCCAGCCCAACCAGGAGAGAGCGCGGTTCTCGAGTCCGAGCGGCTCCGGAGTCGTAGCAGCGCCCTTCCTCCCCATCCTCCTCCCTTCTCCTCCCTCCTCCTTCTCCTCCTCCTCCTCCTCCTCCTCCTTCTTCCTCCTTCCTCCTCCTCCCTCCTCCCTCCTCCCTCCTCCATCCTCCCCCCTCCCTCCTCCCTCCTCCCTCCTCCCTCCTCACTACTCCCTCCTCCCTCCCTCCTCACTCCTCACTCCTCACTCCTCCTCCTCCTCCCTCCTCCCACCGTAGCCATTTTGGCTCAAGGCAATGAACCGTCCCGACGACCGCGAGTCTTTCGGGGCGAGAGCGCGAGGGAGGTTCCGCTTTGAGGCATCTCTCCAAACCAGTCCAGTCTATTTCAGGGGATCCCGATCCCGACAGAAGGTGCCTGTCGGTCCAAGCCCCTTCCCAAGCAGAGTCGAAGCCATGGTGCCGAGCCCTGCAGTGCTGCGCGGGCCGCGCAAGCCGCACTGGGGCTGCAGCCACTGTGGCCGCGCGGCCAACTGGGCGAGCCGAGTCACATGCTTGTGCGGCGCCAGCGCGCCGATGCGGGTGGTGGCCGCCGCTCGTGAGGCAGACAAAGCAGCAGCAGCAGCAGGCGCTCCGTCCAAGAGAGTTTGTGGCTCAGGTCTTCGCCCGTCGCCAGCACCTTGGAGCGCCGAGTTCAAGTACATTCAGCAGATGGAGCAGCGCCTCAAGGCCACAGA